CGGTTAGGTTCTTTGAAAGTGTTTCACTGACCTGACCTAACGCAGGGCCCCGAGATTTTTTTCTTGCCGCCCTTTGTGCGGCTAGCAGCCGTGGTGTGCTGCTCCTCGGCGTCGTCCCTCGATAATCGATCGATCGTGAAATACCCGCGCAGCCGGCAAGGTTCCCGGCCGGAAAATTCCTATAATGTAGTCTGCGAAGGGTCGGCTGCCACCTCTTTCTCTTCCCCGTGAAACCAACCCCTTGCGCGTCCGTGACGGGGCGCTTTGTACATGCAGGGGTTGGACAAAATAATGGTAACATTGCTTGTAAGTCGTGTATTGTGTAATTGAGATTAGTTACCGTGAAGCTGAACGCCTGCGAAGTTTCTGCATAAAGAATGCAGTAATATCCGGTTAACCCTTTACGCACGATGGGATTTTTATAAGTGTTCGATGTCCTTTAGAAAGCTAAAGTAACGATCGGATTCATGAATATTGGGAAATAAGAAATTTAGAATAAAATATTAGAAAATTGAAAATATTGGGAAACAAGAAATTTAGAATAAAATATTAGAAAGTCGAAAATATTGGAAACTAAAAATGTCAGAAAATGAAAGTATTAGGAAAAGCCATTAGAAAATAGAAAGTGAGGGTTGCAACATTCGATTCTATATACGCAAACCTAATGCTGTCCAGTATGACATTCATCCTCAAACTGTTGAAAAACATTCAACGTCTACAATGTTGAAATGTTGTTACTCTGTAAATTCTTATTAACACTAGGTTACGGAACGTCAATTTGACGCATATTGAATTTGATAAATATTATATTCTAAACATTTACGCCGATTTCGATGCAATTACACGGATATGTATCCCAATTATCTATTATCAATGTTCCGATCTTCAAAACCTAAACAAACAAACATCAATGTTTTCCAGGAACAATAGTATAAACTGTACAGTAAATGCCCGTAGACCTAGTGTTAAATCGATCTAGTCATCTTCCTAGCGAGTCTCCCTCGTTGTTACACGACAAACAAACAATATGCAGTGTCTCCATGAGTTTTTCCAACCCCTGTACACGTAGATGAACAGGAAGCAGCCAGAGCTCTGATTTACGCGAGTACGCGTCTAATGGCCATTCAGAAGACTTCCGCGCGGTAAATTAAATGTTATTAAGCGGAAGCAGGCGCGTTCGGTGTTTTCTTCTGGCGAGGCGCTGATACGCGGCGACTTTAAAGTATGGTTGCGGAGATAACGCCGGGAAACGGGGTTAACGCGATCATCCGCCCGCGCCACGCGTTTTGCATCGAGGCCTCCGCAGACACTGTCTGAGGCGCGCCGCGTGATATTTTAGCAATCCAGCCGGCACGTAATTCGATTTCACCTCTGGCGACTCCGGGTGAAAAAATATATTGTGATGATCAATGATGGAGTAGCCTATGAGTACCCATGAACGCAGTAGTGAGATTTAGGGGACTGATGCTTGGTAATTGGCTGGGCGAGTAACGTGGAAGAAGTTGTTGATGCATTTATTTATTTTGATGCATTTATAGATTTGTTTTCGTTTGCTTGAAGTAATTGCAGTTAATTGCTGATTGATACTTTCTATTGAAACGGAGAGTTCATTGTGGTTAGATTTATAGGACAACATATAATCGTAAGTGTATTTTAAAGATGAAGTGAAATCTGTGTTTAACACTAGATTTACGGACGTTTACTCTACACTGTATTCTACTGTTCTTGGAAAGCCACGCGATTATCTATATATATATATATCGTGGAAATTGTAGCTTCAAAACCAGAGTATTGCAATGCGTATTCCCACAATTGCACGAATCAAAATCGACTTGTCACTGAATAATATTTTAAAGATTCAATATCCGTCAAATCGACTGGTTTCGTAAATTTAATGTTAAAGTGCCTACACTTCAGCTGTTGATTACTTACTGCTACCACTTATGAGCACATTACGACTATACTCGATTTTCCATTGGTTTCTCAATATTTCACGCAAGTGAAAACGAATTCAACGTACAATTTCTGCTATTATATATAACGTCTGCTCATTTTTCAAACATGCTTTTATTCCCGTTAATGTCAGACTTGTTAAATTCTTTAAAAATGCGTGCCAAATATAATTAGTAACATCCCATTCTCGAATGTCGCGCGACCACGAGGATCCGAGCGACTTCGACGATTCTTTCGCTCAGCTCGCCGTGTATTTCTTACAGCATAAGCAAAAAGATCGCTAGGGAGCCTCGAGGTAGCAAGTAAAACCGTGTAGATTGGTCGTTCACGGGGAACAGCTTGTTTAAATTCGTCTCTTTCTGTCTCTCCTCGTTTTTTATACGGCCAAGTACGAACGAGCTAGATCCTTCGACAAGTTCCCCGGGTTTAAACGAGCGCTTTATGTAATTGCGGGGACCGGGAAACGAAAGACAAGACAGTAGATACATAGACAATTATTGCTTGTCGAGGTACGACCGTGTATTTTCTCGTCCCCCGTGCCGCCGCTCACTCCCCACTCCCCGCCCTCAACCGAGATTGTTTTTATTACGACCACCGGTAGTCTGGAAATTTCGCTTAAGGGCGTATATCATCTTCTCTGCGACCCGATTTGCCTTCCAATTTCATTAACTCCTTCGAAACTGTATTTATCTTTCGGAAATAACTGCTGCTGACTCGTGAAACTATTCTCGTTCAACCCCTTTCGCCGTGAATTATATATTTCTATATTTTCCGTTGCAATTGATTATCCCGCATATGCAATACGGTTTATGAAAGAGAAATTATTTTGCAATCACGCTTTAGATTGTACTTTTAAGAGATTCGTGTTCTAATAGTAATTTGTATTGTGAATATTTTTGAAAATTAAAGATGTACGTGTTATCGTGACGATGGAAGTATAAAGACCTTTTTTTCGTTTTACCTAGTGGAACGTGTCGAGATTGTGATTGTTTATTCGAGCTTCGAATTATGCTAACATTCTAACATATAAGTTTGTGCATATCGTTGCGAGAATATCATGCTCAATCTACACTGCCGTTTTATAGTCTGAAACATATTATCGTTTAAAAGCGAATAAAGCGTTCCCCGAGTGAATAAATGTTTCATTGAAAGTATTATTCTGTTATAGCGACGAAATGGTGCTTAGAGCATTAAGTGCTAAACCAGCGTCCATAAAATTGCCGCAAGATCTGTATTAACCCTCTCGCAGCACATACGTTCGAACAATGTAGTACGTTCGATGTGATTACTACCGTAATAGATTCTCAAATCCAACTGATAAGTTGTAATCATTATTTAAAAATCGCGATTACGTTCGAACAGTGCCATAAATGTGTGAACTCGATGATAATTCATCGATTAAGTGCCGCACGATTTCATAGATTAAAGTCCACAAAATGGAAAAAATATAATATTACTATATAATATTAATATATAGTCACCGCAAAAGATAGCATTGTTTATAATACAGACATGTTTTCAAATAATCATCGTTTAATCGGGGGAACTATAGTAATTCGACTTGGTTTGGGGTCACCGATGACCCCATGGCATTCAACGTGTTAATGAAACCACGTCTGGTTATGATATTGAAACTTAGTAATTAATCTATAAATTTCTGTGCGTTACGAATCCCGCAAAATGCAACATTTACTAAAATTCACTGCAACTCATCCGCATTCCAAATGTACCGCTACAAGCCCCCTACACAAGTCCCAACAAACATAAATTAATTGAAATTACTAGAATTTAAACTTAATACCCCAGCAATCACCTTACCCAACAAACGTAGCCCAAAAACACCTCAAATACTTCAAAGAACAATATTTCATCCATCCACGCCCACCTAAACCCAATCCAAATCCACAAATCCCGCTCTCCGCGATAATTTCTCCACCCCGAAATCTCCACCATCCACGCAACACCACGTTCCCGTAACTCGGACGAAAAACTCGATCCCAGCATCAATCTCTGATCGATTCCCCCCGCCTCGGGCACACTCGAAAACTCCGAAAACGGAACAAAACCGGGAACAACGAAAACGAAAACAACAAAAACAACAAGAACAACTGGTGAAAACAATCAAGAAGCAGAATCAGTAAAAGGAATCCAAGAGAACCGGCATCGAAGGAACGCTCGCTCGCGTTAGAGGAAAAGCTAGTAGTCGAGGGACAGCTGAAAAGAGGAAATTCCAGGACCGGCTAGGCGGAGAGGATGAAGAGGGTGGTCCCACCAGGTGGTGCGGAGTTCGTAGAAGGAAACAGAGAGAGCGAGACTGGCTGAGGGAACGAGACAGAGGCAGGGAGCGAAGGGGTGGCGAGAGCAACAGCTTCGCAAAGGGGCAACTTTCCGCGAGATGATCTTGTTTACGTACCGGGTATCGATTTACCGAGATCGAGGTACTCCCGTACAGAGGGGCTGAGGAATCCGGGCGGCACGGCCGGTGCCTCGTTCGTCGGATTGTTTCTTTCATCCACGTCCTCGTAGTAGTAGTCGTCGTCGTTGTCGCGGCCATCCTCCTCCGGGTTCAGGGGTTTCGCTCTCTTCGACACCTTGCCGCCTCCGTGATCCCCACCTCCGGTGTCCCGCACGCCCTCTGAAACACGACCGATGCCATTTAAGACGTGAATCGATCCCCCCTAACATCCCACCACCGACATGTTTTTCGAAGAGTTTCTAAGCGCCGCGTGTATGTCCTTTCACCCGGAGCCAGCTCCGTCGAGGCTCGTCGCGCGCCGGATAAATTTCAGTCGCGAGTAATCCGCACCGCGCGACCCTCGACTACTGCCGCTGCTAGTCGATCTCGGGGTGCCCAGGCGTTTAGCGTTAACGTCGACCGATCAGCGGCTGGATTTGCAATGAGGGTTTCGCTGGCTTCCGTTGCTTTTGTATTTGACTTTTTGCAGGGAGTCGGTGGGTTTCGGCGTTGGAATTGGTAATTGTGGTTAAGGTTCGCGCGAGGTTTGACACTGAACGGTTCGATGGAGCTTTGGGAGTTTGGAAGATTGTGGGGGATTTGGGGCGGTGATTAGATGGGTGATTGGTGAATAACGAATTTTCTTTTTGTAGTTTGAGAATATTTTGTAGCCTCTTTTCTTCGATCCCTTGATTCACATTACGTTCTATAAATTTCCGAAATCTACGCTATTTTCCAAGGAACATACTAACAGTTGCGAGAGTGGATATTGATATCAACATCAGAATCTTATTTCATTATTCGAAACGTAGAGAATTCCCTGAATTTCTTTCCTTATTCGAAACATAGAGGACTCCCTGAACAATGCTTCGAGTATGTTTGTAGTCTCTTTTCTTTGATCCCTTGATTCGTATTACGTCCTACAAATTATCGAAATGTACACTATTTTCCAAGGAGCATGCTAACAGTTGCGACAGCAGATATAGAAACCAACATCACAATTTTCCTTCGTTATTCGAAACATAGAGGATCTCCTGAACAATGCATCAAAAATCCAACAGCACTCCCGGGATGACCCAACAGCCCCGTTCCAAGTTACAAAACAAGAGCCCCGAAAAACAAGGAAGTTGTAGACAGAAGTGTCACGCTTGTAACGTCAGCGTTGCCATTAGCACGAACATTTTCATCGGGAGAACTGGAAGCAGTCGCGACTTGACCCAGTCTCGATCGACCACGAAAGTTGGCCCCTGTTCAGTCGAGTGGGGGTGGGGTCGAGGAAAGTTTCGCGAGACACACGCTCGGACAATAGAAAGAGAAAGAGGGAACGCGGCGGCGGAAGGGGTCGAAGTTTTGCGGCCGCGTCGCCGCGATTACGGGAACCGCAGGATCGTAGCTGTTGCGTTATTCACGGTGGATTCGTATACACGGCCCGCCATCGCACCGATTTCGAGGCCGGCCAGTACTTTATCGAAGCTAACAGGTTTGGAAGTCTGCAGCTAATTAATTTCAGCTTTGTATACCCGTTGTCGTTAAACATTTCCTCTGTCGGACAGCCGATGATTGCGTTCCGCCCACCCACGCCCCCTGAAATATTCAAAATTCCGAAATCGTTAGGGTTACCCGTGTACATTGCTAGCCTGTAATCGCGCGAGCGGAGAACGCGGTCCGTGTGTTTGATCGTACTGAACGTGGCCGTTGTCGATCGACCTAGCCACGCGGAACTTTAAAATTATTCCTAGCCCAATGGATTTATCGGGGATCAATGGACTCGATTGAAGCCTTGTTCAATTTCAAATGGCTGTCTGATTACGGTTTCCTTGTCTTGCAGAGGTCCGTTAGTTAACGCTAACCATACCGGCACTTTTCCTACCGTGACTAGTCAAATAACTGGCTACGAAATAGAGATCAACAGTTAGATAAATATTGTTCGGTGGAAACAGAAACAAAAGGAAGAATGAAAATTGAGAAACCAAATCGGATGATATAGGAATTGATACGCAATTAAATGGATAAAAGAAAATGTAGGATTTGCAGAAAAGCAGTTGGAATAACTTATTTCCAAGTTCTCATGAAAATTAGAAGAATACTCATGAGCTTCGAAGGATGCATCTTAGTCTTGCATCTACACAAATACGCAAATTTATTTGAAAATCGTTTGCAAAAACGCCTTCATAATTTAAATACTCGCAGATTAAGAATTCTGAAGTGAGTCACTTTAAACTGTCCGATAGTTTGTGTTACTTTTCTGCTGCCTCTTTTGGCACAAAGCGATCTTGAATTAGAACATTCGATTAGTTCACTTTCCGCTTTGAATATTACTTTCTTCCCTAAGCTTCGATATTATTATACATGATACGTTGATTAATAAATATTGTTACTTTCAGTAAAAAGCTCTCGAAAAATGAGAATTAAAATGAAAATTTACCTGTCTAGATTTTATTATTCGTAATCTGAAAATTATTTGCTGTGTTCCTACGATAGAAGATATAACGAGAAACGTAAGTTAAATAGTGTGCACGAGGCTGTCTATCAAATGAGAATAATATTCCATCTTCGAAAGGAGAACCGTATAATTCGCGGGTATCTCGGCTGGAAACACTCGAATCGTACATAGCAAAAATTCAACGTCGATTTCGCCGGAAGTCCGTCATTATAATCAATTCTCCGAATACGTAGCATCCTGTCATTGGCCATTCATCGGAATTTGTAAGTCCGTGTACGGTCGTGTTGTCCATATACGAATTAATCCACTGCGTTTAGACGCATAAAGTTCGGCTGGTCGATGAGCCGTTAATTAGCTTCCGCGTCACGGACGCACCGGTATCAAATGGGATGAACGCGGGGATCGTATCCACCTTTCCTACCGAAGTAACACGTACACGACAATGCTCGCAAACAATACACTAGAGCCCGAATTCCTCGCGAAACTAAATGAGTTTATGCGCTCAACCACCATTAATATACCGAAAATATTCGGAATACTGACGAGCACCTGTACCTCCAAGTGTTTCTCGAAGTCGATCGTGAAAACGCAAGTCGGCTCGACGAATCGAGGGAAATTTTTCAAACGTATCAATTTTTAACTATTCGATTTCTACAAACCTCGCAGTATTCATTTTTATCTATTTTACGAACGAGGAA